TTTACAGTCTGGCAGACAGAGAGGCTGCCTGTCCTGTTCCCAGAGGGTCACCAGTGGTAACAGCTGTCCTGATGGAAGCCCCAACCCTGGCTGAGACGGGAGACATATGTCACGCCCGGTCTTCCTCTCCAGAAGAGGAGACAGTCTGTGCAGCTCTAGCCCGTTATGAGAACACTCTCCAGGATACCATCAGGGAGATCCATGTGGATGTCAGTGCATTTAAGCTGGGTATGGAGCGTCGTCTTGAGGGCACAGCCAGTCTGAGTGGCCCTCTCGGACGAGCAGTGGCTCAGCTCCAGCAGGAAAAACGGCAGCTTAGGAGTCAGCTAGAAGCTCTTACCCGCCAGGTAGAGCTCCTGAGTGCAATGACAAGTGACAGGAGCACTTTGATTAGCAACAACCACAGTCACAAGCATCACCTTAATAACATTCAGGAGAACCACCAGGATATAAAAGAGGTGGTCTACGGCAGAGGTCAGGCTCATACTCAGAGCCAGGCTCACCTCCATGTCCAGACCTGCACCCTGGGGAACCAAGCCCAGACCTACAGCAGCCTCAGTAATCAGTCAAGTCCTGGATCACCCCCTGCCACCTTCTCATTCTCCCCCAGCTCCAGCAGTCCTCCTGTGGGCTCCAGAGTTTCCTCAATGATGACAGGCCCGGTGTTCAGCAGCAGCCCCTCCACCACCCGCTTCTCCAGCCGAGCCACATTCGCTGTGTCCAGCAAGACTAATGTGAGTACTGCATGTATGTATAAATGAGGTGGTGGATGCCTTTACAACAGTGGTTCCCAGCCCTATTTGTCTAATGAACCCCGACAACCATGCTAACCCTTTCAGTGATACCACCCATCATGGTCCAAATATGTTCATTTGGTTTGATCTTAATCTCTAACAGTTTCGATTCAACTGATCCATTGGTTTTAGCTGTTTAACATTATTTTTACCAAAATATTGTCATCACATTTAACTATTTGTACGTATTTGCTGCTTTTAGAAGTACTGTTAACTTTTATTTATTACTTTTAGTTGTCTGTTTCAATCTTTTATCCATACTCTTAGCTGTTTAGACTCTTCTCACTTGGTAGTCACTGTAGTATAATATAATAATTATTTCCATTTTTCAAATTAGTTCAGCAAGTGTTTTCATGTATCTACTGGGCAACAGCAGAAGTAACCTCTAGGGAACAAGGACTTGTAATTGGAATTGAATTTGAATTTTGTCTTCACATCATCTTTTACTTCGGTGTCTACCCATTCAATTCAATTCAGTTTTGTCAGTTTTATTTGTATAGCACCAAATCAAAGTCAACTCAGAGAGATCTATAGGAGAGAAGCAGTCTAAATATAATTGAGGTCTTACAGTTGTTTTTAAAGCTGTTGTACTTGATGATACATCTGTGAAAGTTGTGGGAATGATCGGGTTAAATTTTTTTTAATAGTTGTGATTTTATTTGTAAAGAAGCTCATGAAGTCATTACAGCTGAGATCCAAGGGAATGTTAAGCTCAACAGCACTGTGGCTCTTTGTCAGCCTGGCTACAGTGCTGAGAAGAAACCTGGGGTTGTTCTTATTTTCCTCTATTAGTGATTAATAATATGCAGTTCTGACACTACGAATGGCTATTTTATATGTTATTAAAACCATCTTTAAAGGCTAGGAAAAACTTTTCTCACTTAGTGGAGCACCACCTCCTTTCCAGTTTTTGTGATGCCTGCTTTAGGGAGTGGAGCTGCGAGCTGTACCACTGCCTTCTTTTTCACTGGGGCAACAGTATCAAGTGTCATACGCAGCGAGGCTGCAGCACTATCAATAAGATTATTGACGTGTGTGGGAGTAAAATTAAGGGTCCGGCGCCGGTTCTAGGGATTTAAATCGACAGCGACTCGCCGAAATAAAATGTCTATATCTCCGCAAAAACACGGTGTATTTGGTTACTCTCGGTGTAGAACGAAAGATAACACTTGTGAGAGTTGAACTGAGGTGTTCTTACCTTTCGATGTTTCGTTTTTGATATGTAAATAACCCCTTGAGCACCGCTCAGCAGGAGCTCACACTCTCCCCTTTTACAAGTCAATAGCTTGGTCCCAGATTTCCCCATAGATACAAGTGACCCCTCGTTGGATTCCTCTCGACCTATAGAAAACGGCTATCGAGTTTGTGACGTACTCCAAATAATCCTGGACCAATGGCAGTCGAAAAGACTGCACCAGAGGGAGAGGGGGGTTTCTGGCCAGCACCAATGTAAACCTGTTTCTATCCAGCCAGAACCCCCCTTAGGAAGAAACAATGGTATTTTCCAAAACGACGCCTTCTTTGGAGTCAGAAAATGCAGTTTGCATCGGAAAAACATATTTTTCTGCATAAAAACATCAAAGGTAAGATGGCAAATTTCACTGTTTTGCTCGCGAATCGATGTCTGTTTTCGAAGGTTGTTGGCTTGTATCTCTGTAATGCTTTTACTGAGCGTTTTGACCGATGTATGTATGGAATGTGTGGAGTCTGGCCTTTGTTTTGAGCCGCGGGTAGCGATGTTTTGATGGATTATAGTCGGTAAAATATGACAAAATATGAATCGTATGCCCTTGCACTGCGCCCCCTAGGGGACTCCGGATGTTGCTCTTTTGTGCTTTATTGCTTTTGCTGTGTTTACTGTGTGGAAAATTTATATGACATTTTATATGACGTCGTAGCTGAGGTTTCGCTGAAAATATTGATGTATACATTGTTGGGGGTCGGCTGTCACCACTCGCGTAGCATACCTTCATGTTGTGTCAAGCCCCAGGGTCCCCTAATTAGGGGACCCGTGGCCACCCTTCATTGTATTAGCACATAACATTGAAGTAAATGATGGAAAGTAATAAGTCAGACAGAGTCTGAGAATTCAAGCTCAGGGTCAGCCGTGTTGAAAGCTTCACCCTGCAGTGAGTTATAGCTGATATTATCACACAAACACACAGCATGATTGCTGCCTGAAATCTTAGCTTAAAGCTGTCAGACTGTTTTTTATATAGTAACAAAGCAGGTGCTTGCTGGTATGTCTGATGTGGTGTTTTCACCTTGATTACAGGACAGACAAGAAATTCAACTTCACTGCATCACCATCTCAGCCTCAGGTATACAGTATACCATGATACAACAGCTTTGTGTTTGACACTAAGGGGGATATTTACTAAGGTTTTGCGGCTCGTTTTCTGGCGCTAAACAGTGGAATTGCCTGTGTTTATATTTGCTAAGCAGTCGCTGTGGGGTTTTTTCACAGTAAAAACAGAAGAAAAGCGGCATTGCAGGAATTTGGGCATTTGGCCTCATGCAGTATTTATTTCAAGGTATTCCTGTTCAGGGATGCAAAAATCAGAGGAGAGAATGGATATTTTTACAAATACTCTCAGCATCTGATTTACCACACATGACAGAGGGAATTGCAGCAGAAATTGAACAACTGAGGAAGCAGTTCTTGAGGCTCTCTCTGTGTGTCTTCTTCTTTCCAGCTACCAGAGGAAGTACCCTTACAACCATGTGGGCCGCACATTGTACCAGCCTCCAACCCCGGTCGCCTCCGAGACCCAGTATTTCTTTGTGGATGTGTCAACCCTGTCTAGCCAGGGTACAAACTACAAGCTCAGGGCCAGCCGTGTTGAAAGCTTCACCCTGCAGTGAGTTATAGCTGATATTATCACACAAACACACAGCATGATTGCTGCCTGAAATCTTAGCTTAAAGCTGTCAGACTGTTTTTTATATAGTAACAAAGCAGGTGCTTGCTGGTATGTCTGATGTGGTGTTTTCACCTTGATTACAGGACAGACAAGAAATTCAACTTCACTGCATCACCATCTCAGCCTCAGGTATACAGTATACCATGATACAACAGCTTTGTGTTTGACACTAAGGGGGATATTTACTAAGGTTTTGCGGCTCGTTTTCTGGCGCTAAACAGTGGAATTGCCTGTGTTTATATTTGCTAAGCAGTCGCTGTGGGGTTTTTTCACAGTAAAAACAGAAGAAAAGCGGCATTGCAGGAATTTGGGCATTTGGCCTCATGCAGTATTTATTTCAAGGTATTCCTGTTCAGGGATGCAAAAATCAGAGGAGAGAATGGATATTTTTACAAATACTCTCAGCATCTGATTTACCAGCACTATGACAGAGGGGAATTGCAGCAGAAATTGCACAACTGAGGAAGCAGGTATAAAATTTGTGGCCCTGCTCTCAGTGTGGCAGCTGTTATCTGTTCAGGGTTAAGAACGTGTTTGAGGAGGGAGAGGGTGTCAAACCATGCTTCAGTTACTGAATGAAATAAAAGATGATGACTGGCAGGAGACTATGTGACTGCTATTCTGAAATGTGTTTGTTGATTTCTTCAGCTATAATAAAGTTTGGTCACTGTAAACCTAGACCTTCTCCTGTACTTCTTCTCGGTTCACACGTGCGCAACAGTCTTCAGGCAGCGAATCCGAAGCAGAGGGGGATTCAGATTAATACAGCTGCGGCTCTGCTCATACACAGCATCAGTTTTGGTAAATATGCCAGTACAGGTGTATGTGTTTACAGACATGAATCCTGTCCATGTCAGTGGCCTTTAATGTTCTAATAATAGTCACATACTGTTCTCTGATCAGTCAGACCCTCAAACTAGCCATTCTTCTCACTGGAGAATATTGATGATGATTATGATGATGATTGATGATTTACTTCTCGACTGCCCTCATGTCTGACTGTGAAGGTATTTTGAACAATACTGTTTGAATGTTTAATGTCAAACAATGTGACGAATGGTTACTGAATAAAGGGACAAAGGTCTCAATTTGAGATACGTGGTCTTTTTCTCACAGTTTCTGTGTTGTGATGGCAACTTCTAGGTTTAAAACACATGCTTCAGATGCTCCATAGTCTTTGAACTTAAGAAATGTTTTATTGATAAACTCTGAGGCCAGCTCATGTGACACATTTTGTTTCTCTGTGTGAATAAAATAATAATCAGAACATTTGGTTTCTCTGTATGAATAAAATAATCAGGCTGTGAATATGTTTACATATATGCACTTACAACAGTACTAGCCTATAAGAAGATCACTGCACAAGAATTACTTGAACAAAGATAAAATTTGATAGTAAAATACAGTATGCATTAACACAAATACATACACAAAGCATTTCTTCCTCTGCCTACACATACTGTATGTTACTAGATCTGTGCTTGTGGGAGTATGGAAGAATAATACATGTAAAATAAAAAAGGTGGACTGTCTTCACACCTTTACAAAAACAAGTGACTTATGTTTCTGAAAGGCTAAAATGACAAAAAATGGAGAAGTTACACATAGGTCATATACAAAATCAGTGGCATAAATACAAATGTGATGTGTCATGAAATGAAACTTAACCTCTGTGCATCTGAGAAAAACTGCTTTTTAGTGCTCTGTCCTGCCTGCAGCAGCAAATGAATGGAGATCACAACATGAAGTCAAATCTGGTTATGTCTAGATGTCTTCAGAAATAAGATGCTTTTCTGTGATTGTCCTACACTGATTAGGAAAAGACCAACTCCCATTTGACATCAGTAAATTCAACCAATTAGAAAAAGTCTGGCCATCACCTAGCATTGACCTGTAACCTGTAAATGTCACACTGAGGTGCTTTAAAGTCTCACATCTATATCTAATGTTGGAGGTTAAAAGTCCTCAGCCCTCTGTGACGTGGCTCCCTGAAACGCCAAATCACCTGCAGTCAGCTCTTCATCCAATCACTGCAGAGGAGGCCAGATGTTCCCTGAAAACCGTTGCACTAAAACTGCTCAAAGTCCTCAGTAGCAGTCAGTGTACAACAGAACTGAACTGTGCATCATGTCCTCAGTAATGATAGACTCTGATCTGGTTGTTATCGTCCAGGCCCAGCTGGATTAGGCTGCTCTTGGAGGACGAGGCCTGATAGCGAGTGAACAGAGGTCTGGAAGGCAGAGTTAAAGACAATGAAAGGCACAACACTGTGTTCATACAACAGTCTGACAGTGATGGTGTGCTTTGGCAATAATGTGAAGTAGCAAAGGTTTATCAGACAAGTAAAAAATATAGCTGAATACATCAATAACTTCATAATACACGTGAGCAAGTTTGGTTGGGTCGAAAAGTTTTGTAAGAAAACAAATACACAGCCGTGCACTGTTGGATGGTAACTGGTAGCCAGCAGCGCAGTTTCAGCTTCAGAAGAGCACAATGCGATGTGGCCTCTCTCTGCTTTTGTTGACACTGACGATGCAGCCGTCTGGTCTGAACTGACTTCACTGAAAGTGTCACCAGATAAAACTGAGCGGCGGCTTTGTGATGACACATAAAACCTGGTACCTGGCCGGTAACAGTGTGAGCAGAGAAGCTGCAGGTTCAGACTGGACCAGTGGTTGACCGATATGTGCTTTTCAATGGACGATGCTGATTTTTTTAAGGAGGAGAGAAGCTGACTGACCATGACTGACTGTACTTTGTATCTGCTGTGATTTCAGCTGCACTCAGGGACTAAATGGCTTCTAGACTAGAGGAGGATCTCTGCTGTCCCGTCTGTCAGAATGTCTTTAAAGATCCTGTCATCCTGTCACACAGCCATAGCTTCTGTAAAGACTGTCTGCAGAGCTGGTGGAGACAGAAACAAACACGCGAGTGTCCAGAAACAAACACGCGAGTGTCCAGAAACTTTCATTACAGAGTGAACCACCCTATAACCTGGTGTTGAAGAACCTGTGTGAGTCCTTCTTTCAGGAGAGAGCCCAGAGAGCTTCAGAGACTCTCTGCAGTCTGCACTTTTGTCTGGACCATCAGCAGCCAGTGTGTCTCATCTGCAGAGACTCAAGTAAACACACCAACCACAAATTCAGTCCCATCATAAGGGAGATGATGAAAAAATGTTCCTGTTTTAGTGTGACTTGTTGTAGGCTCCTAAGTGGAGCATAAAGTAAAAAAAAAAACAGCTGACTATTTATAATGAAAAGCATCGTATAAACTCTGGAGTATTGAGAGTAAGAAATGTCTAATTCTCTTGATTGAATAAACTCTTTATAGCTAGCTAACTCACCCTTTTCTTTCATAAGTTAAAATATAATTTAAAAATTCTTATTTTTGTACACAACATGCTGATTATTCCAAAGAATGCATTAGTGTGAAGAGAAATTGTGCTCAAAAGCAACCTTCCATGTGGCAAGGGCTTGTTTATGGAAGTTTGTAAGTTTTACATGTAATTTACCTGAAATTAAATTACAGGAAAGCAAAAATCTTAAACCACCACACTGATCAAACATAAAGCTGGAAACGGTAAACCACGGGAGATTATTACCAGCTAAACACCTTTTTAGCCAATTAATCTTAAATATACAACTGATAGTTTGAAAGTCTAATACATTAAAGCCTCCTCTAGCATGTTGTCTAATAAGAGTTTTCCTCCTTATATACTCTGTCTTATGTTTCCAAATGAATTTAGACAAGAGTCAATAGATGCACAACTACTCTGACCAAAATACAGAGATAAGGCTGGATATACCAATCTGGATAAGCCTTCTCCTTTAGACAGCAAAACACAACCTAAGATTGTAAGGCCTCTTTGTGTTACGGGCTATGCCGTGTGAAAAGACAAGAGTGACTGCTGATATAGTTCTACAGAGGAATCATCCAGTCTGTTCTCCATCACATCAAAAGGTCATCGGTGTGAGCCTGCCCTCCATGGAGGACCTGTACACCGCATGGGCCAAAAGGAGGGCGCAGAGGATCACTGCAGACCCCTCACACCCTGGACACAAACCGTTTGAACTCCTCCCCTCTGGATGGCGTTACAGGTCACTGAGCACTAAGACAACCAGGCACAGGGACAGTTTCTTCCCCCAGGATGTCACTCTGATGAACACTTAATCAACAACAGTATGATTGGACAATAACCCTCAGTGCAATACCTATAAATATACATTGTACAGATTATACAGACTCGTACAGGTCTCTTGTACTCTGTTTTAAATACTCTATTTTTATCCCTAATTATCTCATTTCAATGAACATTCCTTTGTTGTCTGGATTGTTTACTGTCTATTTATACTGCTTTTTCTGCATTGTTTGCACTGGTTGTTGATGTTAATACTGCTATTTTGTTATATTACACAGCCATATGCTGGTTTACTGTTTGCACATTGAGAGCCGATGTACCAGAGTCAAACTCCTCGTGTGTCCAACACACCTAGCCAATAAAGCTGATTCTGATTTTTTTTGACCAACTCGTCTGTTTTAAGGCCTCTGATTAACCAAACACGGGAGCAGTGTACTGCACTAATGACAAGCAGCTGTGTATTGTCCGCTTAGAAACGGCAGAATCGTTGCTTCGTCAGTGTGGGCTGTAGTAACAGACTTAAAACACAGCTCAAATAGCAGAAAACCTTGCCTCTGAAAGTAGTGGAAAGCTATAAGCAGAATTAAAAAACATCCTCACCGTCATTGGCGGGGCACTTCAGCAAAGAAACCTTTGTGTGAAGATATTCCATAAAATAAAACAAAATCCCTCGTTTCAGTATGTTCCTAAAAATCTGGCTTCATTTAACAGAGTAAACGCTTGGCACTCCTGTCACGGACTTGGTTCACCCAGAATTTTCTATAAGTCTGACTGCTTCGATAACCGCACTGTCTGACTAAACGTGAGTTTGTCTACAACCGAGGGGGGAAATATGGCTGTAGAGTGAAAACTGCGGTCATACGGGCAAGTTAGTGTTTTAGTTTGTTGACATTTTTCAGCCCGTCGCGCTCTGATGACGTCAGAACTCTACATCCCCTTAGAGACCAATGAGTTCTCATTTTCTCCCTTTCTAACCAAGGCGCACACATTTGAATGATAAATAAATGTCTGAAAAATGTTGACTGTTTCAAAAAGTAAAATATTGCTAGTTATTT